TAAACAGATTAAGCCCAATCCATAGTAATGGATTGCGAATGGCAATTGGAGCCTTTAGGACAAGTCGGGTCTCTAGTATCCTTGCTGAAACCGAAGAAGAGCCCCTTCACATAAGAAGACGGAAAATAACCTTTTCTTATGCCAGCAAAATCTCGTGTTCTTCCTGTAACCCAACACACAAGACTATATTCTCCTCAAGATATTCAGTTCAATACCAAAAAAAAAAAAATTAATTCCCCCAAACCAGCTTACAATTGTTAAAACAATACCTTGATGAAATAGACTTCACATTTCCCCAAGTAAATCCAGATATTAATACTAAAAGTCCTTCATGGCTTTCTTCTAAAATAACCATCAATACAAGTCTTAATGATACAGGAAAACTGACACAGGTCCACAAATATATCTAGCTCTCTTCTATGAATTGTCAACTACTTACATTCAATACACCAGCATATTTACAGATGGTTCCAAAACCACTAATGGCTCTGGATGTGCCCTTTTAATTGATGGTCAAACACAATATTTCAAGCGTAGTGATATATGTTCTATATATTATTGTGAAGCTTACGCCATATACAGAGCCTTAGAATACATCAAAGACAAAATACATCAAATACAAAATTTGTAATCTACACTGATTCAAGAAGTGTACTAGAAAGCTTCAATAGCACCTCCAAACTAGATCCAATAATTAAAAAAACATAAATCTGTATAATGAATTGTTAAACATTAATAAGGAAATAGTGTTTGTCTGGATTCCCTCCCACATTGGCATAACAGGCAACGCATTAGTTAACAGAGCTGCCAAACTAGCTACCTCCTTTCCTCTGACCACCAATAATGTATCACATAATGATATAAAAAAAGTACTTCTTCAAAAAAACAAGGAATTGTGGGACACTGAATGGAAAAGTTCTCCACCTAACAAACTGTTCATGATCAGAAAATCAGTTCTTGTAGACCATGCTCCTCACCTTCAAAAAAGAAGTGATCAAGTACTTCTTACTCGTTTGAGAATAGGCCATTCAGCCTGACTCACAAGCATTTAATAGCAAAGGAACCCCCAAATCTCTGCCAAACTTGTCATATACCTATTACTGTCATCCATATACTAGTTCATTGCCCAAATTTGAATTATTTAAGAAAAAATACAATATTTCTTACAACATACAAACACTTTTAAATGATACAAGTAATGTACGTGATCCATTTCCTCGATGAACTCAACCACTATAAATGCCTGTAAACTACTAGAAACAACTTGTCAAGTTAAATACTAGGTATCTAAAAATCATACCATTATCTTAAGATCTTATTAATGTAATAAATCTGTTAATATTTTTGTGTACCATTCTGTAATATTTGTACTTATAGTATGTGTTTTTCATATCAATTGTAAATAATTATTTGTTTCAAATATTGTTAATACTTTGTAAAAACAATGGGGTCAGTCATGACCATGTAGTTTATGCGACCATAATAAATAAAGCAAAAAAATATTAATACAGACTGAAACTTTTATGAAATCACAGACTTTTAGCAAAGGCATCGTTAACAACTGGCTAACCTGGAAATAAAGTGGTCTATAGTAGTAATCACAATGTGAATTTATATCACTTAAGAAATTACTAACATTAAAATCATCTGCCAATACTAAAGTGGTACTTTTATAATGCGGTACCTACAACGATAAATGACACCTAGGCCAATTTAGAATGTATAGATGCTCACCTATTCAGATCAAATTTATCATAGCATGGATTTTAACCAAAATGTTTCATGGACCACTTACTTCAGTTCCAGGCCAGCTAATTCAAGACGTCGTAGGTGAAAACATCGAACATCTAACAAGATAGTTCAACATGTAGCATTAGAGACAACAATTCTTCGGTCCAGAAGCAGACACTATTACCATCCTTCAAGTGTTTGGAATGCAGAGAACAGTTGATGAAGACAAATCTGGAATCCCACTAGACAATACCAATACATAACTAATTTTAATAGAGTATCTCATGTCCTGAAACGATCTCTTCAACAGCTAAGAAATGACTTATTTCCTAACACATTCGATCCTTAAGAACAAGAGCAAGAACCAACAACTCGATCTGAAAAGCTAGCAAAAATACACACTCCCAAGCATACAATTTCCACTTTTCCAGAAAACAAGCAGTACCTAGACGAAAGTCCGAAGCACAAAAGCGAACGTTTTGCACTTGGTTACTGCATATTAGTTCAAAGTAAGAAGAAATAACCCAGTATCTTAATATCCACTACCAACTATTACCTTCAATGAAACTAATTTTTTTTCAGTGAGTTAGAAAACTCAATTCATTAACCCGAAACAATTCAGTAACCCTTTCGCCCGTAAACAATTCATTAACACGAATAACAGACCAGGTCATGATCTCTCCACAGGAAAAGACATTCATGACCTAGCGCGAAAGGTATTTGCCTTCATTGCCTCTCTCTTCAGTGTTATCCGTTGATTTAACCATTTCCCTATCTAATGGAAGGTAGCTCAGACTGTTGCCATATTAAAAACTGGGAAGTTGTCGGGTCGCAACTTTTCCTACTCACAAAATAAAATGCCACTTTTACCACTTGTGTCATAACTATTTTCAGTACCAATGGACTACAAAATGTTAATTTCCGTTTTAGAAATTAATTTCCCGCAGCATTATGTATACTAATATATTATTCCTTATAAAAGATTATGTAGTACGTATTCGAAAAAGTAAAAGGTAGGAAATAATATAATAATAATAATAATAATAATAATAATAATAATAATAATAATAATAAGAAGAAGAAGAAGAAGAAGAAGAAGAAGAAGAAGAAGAAGAAGAAGAAGAAGAAGAAGAAACGTTTCAGTTCAATGTTTAATTTCAATTCTTTGATGCTTTTAACCAAAAATTCACTTCATTTTTTTCAGTTCCTTTGTCGCCATAAGCTTTTGATGTTTGCATAATTGCTTTTTCTTATCATCTACCAAGAGAAATTCCACGCCTATTATCTCACTATCAAACACAATAGAAGCCAAAGACAACTAACTTTATCCGCAGATAAGAATGTGCCAGTGTTTCGCGCCAAGAGGGGGCGATAAGGCAATCTGTCAGTTCCTCTCGGTTCTTCCATGTAGCTTCTTCATGATATACATTACCTTGAATGTTGCTTATCGCTGCACATTTGTATGCAATTAATCAAATTTTTTACATTACATAATATTTATATTATTCTTCATTAAGTTACCTCTGACGGTGTTTAATTTGCACCACGCTACTGTAATGAAATGAGCATGTTGATGTCAAATCTTTCAAATCAGCATTATTTTTATCTAAATTGATACATTATTATAGATTAGAGATCCATTAATATCAAAAATACATTTAATTCAATATGAGACATTCGTATAAGAGAATGACGATTTTAAAATTACATTTTGTTGGGGTTTAATTACTTACTGTGACATTGATTATAATGGTCGTGACCTCTCATTAGTAGAGATTGAAACATTTGAAGAATGTACAATAGGGAATGAAAGTCGTTTATTGCCGTAAAAGCCGAAGTTTAACATAGAGAATAATCGATTGCCGATCCGGTGGCCGAGATCGCTAAGGCAGTAGTGCCGTAGCGAACTCGGACCGAATGATCGCGGGTTCGAGTCCCGCCTCGGGCATGGTTGTATTGTGTTTCGTCCTTTCACCCCCTATCATCATCATTATCGTGTCAACCAACAGTTACCATACCGTTACAAGCAATAGTGGTCGCTAATGACCTAGTAGTTGATGCGACCTTAAATAACAAAAAAAAATAATCGATTAAATGTTCAACAAAATATCGAATTGCTACCTAATAATTGATATACTTTTATATCTATTTCTTATTTAGATATCAGAAAACACTAATTATGATTCTTGGCCAACACTATATACACAGAAGGAAGGCTTATTTATTATTCGTTCGGAAAGTAACAATTCGATCATTCAACTTGCACAGGATAAGGAGAACTGCCTAAGCATACATTTTGTTTTCATTGCTCTTTATCAGAAACGTTACTGCACAAAAATTCTGAAATGTCCCACGCGACCTGTTGAACTGGCTTTAGCACGCTGTAAACCTAATTTTCACAAGAGAAAATTACAGAAGTATAACATACTCAATAGTTTACCATTCATGTAACTGCCGTCGTAATTTTAGTAAAAACACCTTCCATCTAAGTGATACCCAAAATTCTATTAACTCACATTAGGCGTGTCTTAGCGATTAAAAAGATTAATGCATTTTCATATCTGTAGTGTTTTTAACTTGTCAGGCTCGTCTACAACGGCCGGAGTAAGTGCAGCTCTCTCTCTCCCTCTCTCTCTCTTGGAATACGCAACTGCCATCATCATTTTGTCAACATAGATACGAGTAATTAAAAAGTTCACATTACAGTTTATCTAATGCGGTAAAGATGGCGAACAAATCAAATGCAATCAAAACTCGTGAACCTTGGCGACTTGAAGCCAAGACGCATATAATCAGAAGTGGCTGTCGGGCGGGGTCCAGTTCGTTGGCCGGACGAGTTCCGCGAAGGGAAGTGCGCGTCGCGGCCGCCGCCTCGAGTGCGTGAGGGCTGGGCGCAGCGAGGTCGCGGCCGCAAAAGGCGGTGCGGGTGACGGGGAGCGATAGCGGAGATTGGATTAATTGATTGATTGCTTATGTTTCGTTTCCGGGTGCGCCAATGGCGATGGTCATTATTCCCGTAAGCGTTGAGCATGTGACGTCGTGGAAATGAGCTGTGTTTCTCCCCCGCTAGAACATGAAATCCTTCGTCGACCTACACGACAGTTTGGGGTGAGTGATGGGGGGATGCAGAGGGGATATCGAAGACTTGTCACGTACGACGCGTCCCCCGTAACATCATAATCCATAAAAAAATAATTCGTTCATTCCAGGTTACACCATAAGGCTAGGAACTGGCTTCACAATGAAGAAACAGATATCACCTTCGTTACCTCAACCATCAATCCGGTGCGAATGCCATCGTCACCATTGTTGATCATCGCCGCTATCTCCACTGGCATGACCTCGACTGCCATGACCATCATCCTATCGCCACAATCACCACCGTTATGATCGCCTCCGCCATGATCAGAACTGGCAAAAGGTTTTCATGTTCAATATTTTACTATACTGCGACTTTTTCAATTCTGCCCCAAGCAGGTATCAGCTGTTGACGGTTTCATCAAATCGGGAGTTTGAACGTAATCATAGTTCCATCTCCCGATTGGATGAAACCTTCAACAGCTTATACCTGCCAGGGGCTGAGTACTGAATATATCGCAGTATATTTTGGTTTCGTTTGTCGTTTTTAATGCAATGATTGGTGAAAATTTAGTAGCATATTTAGTGAATATTTAGTAGTTATAGTAGATAGTACGAAAAAAGGCGCTCGACCCTGTTGGCGCCACCGCCAACGTCGCCGGTTCCGCTATTACAAAGATGCTTTCACTGCTGCCTTCACTAACACTTCTGATGCAACCACCGCCACCTTCGTCTCTGTTGCCACCACCGCCGCCGCCGCCACGCGAGTATTCGCCCGCACGCGATCCGCCCCGCGCACGTCGCGTGCTGCCAGCGGTTCCCACAGTGGGCGGCGGCCGCCGTCACCGCCGCCACCATCGCCGCTACCACCGCCGCCGGCACGAGAGATGCGCTGCGGCGCGTCACTTCGCCCCCGTTCTGACTTTCCCTTCTACCTTCCTTTGCGGAAGAACGGAGCACATCTTTCCACTATGATGGATTGATTGATTGACTGTTTAGTGATTCCGGGTACGTCAATTACCAGGGTCATTAGTCACGTAAGTATAGTCCATGTTTTACTCGGGAGGTGGCGATGATTTTTACCCCGCTGTATGGCGAGTTCCGGCGCCGACCTACCTTCGGCTAGCGGGGGTTTTCCCAAGGTATCTCCCGGTATGTGTGGTAGTGAAGTGCATGTCAGTGTGTGTATGTGTGTGTGTAAGGGGTGAGGATAGGACAAGGAAGAGGAAGGTGAAATCGCGCGCGGTCCGTGTCCCGTTTGTTACAGTACTGCTCGCCTGGTGTTGAATGGAAAAACCACGGAAGAAAACGGATCAGAGCAGCCAGCCGCTAGAATTTTCCACCAGACAACGACTGAATTCGACCTAGCTAACACTACTAATGGAGACACGGCGTTCTTTCTTCCGGCGGCGACGTACCAAAAGAGCTCCTCTCAATTGGCGAAAGCGCTCACACTAATTGATCACGTTTGGATTAAAACAATTTGAACTGCCAGGGCCATTCGAATTGCGGGATTGCGCAATGGAGAAAGCTTGGCATTGTTGTGGGTAGAGTCATTTCGGAAATGACGATGGCCAACTGCTGTTTATTTATTCACTTAATTTTATATTTTCTTATATCTGGTTCTCTCTCTAGCTGTGCCATCCAATTTTTCTCCTCCATACTGTCCTGTTTTTTCTTCAATTTCTCTAATTTCGCCTCGATAAATCTTACTGTATCCTGCCGCCTGTTTTTTTAAAATTTCAATCACAGTTTCATCTTATTATTTTTCGTGTCATCCTACTTTCACCCTCGTGTATTAAATTGTTCGTGTATCCTGCCCATTTGGCATAACCTAGGATTCTCCACCCACGTTTTTCGCACGCAGTTCTTCATTCCAAGAATTTCTCGATTTCCTGAGTTATTGAAAAAATATGCCTTCTTTACCCTCTGCTGGCAGAATGTTCAGGTGCATTGATGGTGTAGCTGTCTTCTTGTCTTCTGGACCATCAAACCTTCATGCTAAACGATATAACTGTCCTTGCATTGTTAGTAACTTCACTCAGATCATCCATCATGCTTTATTCCTTTGTTTCGTGCGTGCCTGCAGATGTTTCGTTTTGCCCAATAACATTAAACGTTTGTGATGCCCCACCCACGCACTCACGCAATGCATTCCTGTTGCAATGCATCGCGATTACGCTCCTTCCATCTTTACTCATGGCACTCTGCGTCCACTCTCTGTCTTAGTATTCTCTCTATCTCTCCGTCTTCCGCCTTCTGCATGGTCTCCACGTACGTGTCGGTGCGGTCCAGCTCGGAACGTTCTGCCCAGGGCCATCCCGTTCTCGGAAGAGATTTCTGAATGACGTTTTTTCATCACTCCGTGGGACTCGTTTCTCATGCGTGGCACATGCCAAGCTACAATCCACTACGAATTCTCCAACTTGGATAGGATACGGACCGAATGAGGTTCAGGGGTCTCAAGTTCATTTGCCATTCGATTATTCAAATTATTAAATAAAATGAAAAAAATATTTTTCTTCGAATTCACATTTAAATATTAACTAATTATTTAAATATTAAATACTTATTATATAAATACTTTATGGACACGTGTTAGTAATTTTAAAGTCAGTATTTCGTCTGACACCATTTCTTCCACATTAATGTTGCTTATAAATCAATCAAATCTTGTATCCTCAAACTTCAATATTCCTGTAGGTACACAAATTCAGCATCTGAGTCAGTTGCAACGGGGCAATGATCGGTCTCCGAGAAGCGGGTTCGTCGTTCCAAGACATTGCGTCTCGAACGGAATACGCTGCTACGACTGTAATGCCTGTGTGGAACCAGTGAGTTGAGGAGGGTTATTCAAAGCGACGAACTCTCTTTGAATCCATGCCACAACACAACACTAGAGGCTCTGATGGCAGCGCGTAGCTACTTTAAATATCGCACTAAATACTCAAAGTTAAAATACATGTTGTTAATACACATCAATACACAACACAAAGTTAATATGCGTCGATGTAATATTATTTCTTCTTCTTTTTCTGGGGGTTGCGATTTTCTCAAATAGTAGTGTAAATGACTTTCTCCAACATGTTGCGTGGTCAGAAACGATATTTTGTCGGTCTTTGATACCGAAAAATCGCTTGACGAAAGAACACCTGTCCGTCTGTCCATCCGTCTTGTCCTTCTGTCTGTGGTCAGAGCTAGCGCCAAATTTCTTTAGCTATTTTTCAAAAAAAGTTCAAAATTATTTTCGGCGTCTTCCTACAACTACATTATTGAAGATAGTGTTTTCCTTAACGAAATCTGTTATTAAATGTAAGTCTTAATACAGTATCATGTACAATTATTCGAAAATATGGGTAGTTCGCTCGTATTTTTGCGAGATACATAGGCAATTTTTAAACTTTTTTTTTCAAGCTCCAAATTTCTTCTTCAATTTCCCCCTCTCTTATCTATCGAAATACATTAAAAAGCTAGTACGATTTCCGTCAAACTCTCAGTATTTTAGAAAAATGCAAAAAGTTAACATTTAAAACACGAAAATTGAAGATATACATTTTTGCCTTAAACAAAATGTTCTACAAAATTAATCTTTAAAAAAGGTCTTCTACATTTTTAAAACTGGTCATTTTAGGGTAATTTGTGCTTCAAGTAATGCAATTTATAAAATATCATTTTCTCAAAAATACCTCCAAACTTTATATTCAGATGTTTTTCTGGGATAGATTGGGAGAATTCACATTTAAATATAATCAAAATTTAACAAATTTTAAATAAGGATTGTTTTTGTTAATGAAATTCTCATACAATTTATATTACATCATGTTTTCATCATTTCTATCTTGTAAAAATAAATATGCAAATTTTTATTGATTCTAGTCTCTAAACCTCATTATTAAACTTTTTATTATCCGAATTATTAGTTATTCAAGCTACAGTCATAATATCAATTTTATTCCGAAATTTATTTTTCTGCATTCTGAACTATGTAGCTCTGTTGGTAGTTAAATTAAGTACTGGATCTTCATTTTATGGTAGTTCAATTGATTAGTATAGTAAATATGAATCTTCACTGTAAAATGTTCATGGTCAACACGGCGCACGACAGTGCAATTACGAATGGAATATGCCAGGCGCGTCTGATTGCTTCGCTCGACCTTGCTCCGGCCGGTTTGTCGTGCCGCATCGATTGCAGGACGAATTATAGTCTACTATCTAGTAAATTATCCGTTGCGATAGTGACAGAATGGAACGTCGTATAGTAAGATGTGTATAAGCCTGTGTGTCGAAGAAGAGTAGCAGACTCAGAACACAAAATCAACAATAAATACATCGGCACCGAGACACTACCATTGGCAGAATTTTCTTAATAACAACTATTTTGACAGAAATGGGTAAAGGCTACAAAACATTTTCTTCTGTCGTAGAAAAAAGACCTGAATAATCAAACACAATTAACATTTGGTAAATGATTTAATGTGTGATTATTTAATGTACAATGTACGTGGAAAAAACAGGGTCTACTAGAGAAATAAATGAAAATTATAATAATTTTCAATTATGAGCAAATGGGTTGAAGATAGCTAAGAAAATATTTGCACATGTTGATTCACTTAAATTCTTAGAACAAACAATCACCGTACAATATACGGTTAAGTGTTATATTGAATTGTTATCGACAAATATGAAGGTAACATTTTCGAATGTAAGTAAAGAAAACTCAGGGAAAACATTTTTAAAGAATTTGACAAAAAATGTTCTGATAAATTAACAATAGACGAAAACCTCAGATATACAATATACATTCAGTACTACGAAGAAAACTTACGAATTTAAGCAGACACTTGCGATTTATACATTCAATTTATACAATATTAGACTAGTCTACAACAGTAACATTTTACTCATATAACTCAGTTTCACACCAAGGGATGCCGTGGGATACCGTATGCATTACACTACATTATGCAGTCTTGATTTCCACGGTTTTCCACCTGCTGCACCCTTGCGTGCACATTTGTTATTCTCACTTTTTTCCACGGAATGTACGATAAATAATGAATCAACTTGTGAGAATGAGCCTGGCCCTAAGCACAATACTTCCGTGACTAGCTCTTTCCTTCAAGAGAGAGGTTTGGAAGAGCATAAAAGTTAAGGAAATAACTACAGTAAGACTAACTGTTTTGAAGTATCGTGTTATTTCCATCACATACACTGCACGCAAACATGAATCAGCTGACTTAGTGCTAATCAATAAAACGAAACTGGGCGAGAAAATGTGAAAAAAATGTCATTTCTTCAGATATTTGACAATATTGCCATAATGACCCATACAAATTGATCATCATGCCAGAATAATTATTATGAATACGTAAAAATGTATCTGTCTTTAAATATTTTCACTACACATAAGAAGTTCACAAATTAATTCAGAAAACTATTTTTCACCTCGCCTCAAATAGCAATATCTGCAACAAAATATTTGCACACGTTGATTGATTTGCATGCAACACCCTTCTGAAAACAAACAAACCTTACATTGCAGAAGAAAATGTATGTATGAAAGCATTTAATAATCAACCATAGCCGCCAGTATTCTTTTTAATTTCAAATGTCATCCAATAACCGAAATGAGATAAAAGTTCATTACGTAATGGCACAATTAAATTATTTCATTTGTGAGCACTTTGTTCTAGAAATATTCTAAATCTGCTTTCGTATCATAGATTTCTTCCTACTTGTCGAAATATTAACGTTGTCATCTTCATGACATAATGCTCAAACACGACTTCTAATAATTATAAGTGGATTGAATTTTATAATTCAATATTAAGGAAAGTTGTTACTTTTTAGTCCAAGGACGGTTCCATATCGCATTGGTCGTCACGAGGTCTGGCCCACGATCATTTAAGACTGAAAATATTTTCTTCTGAAATGACTGCAAACCAATGCTAATACATAACAAGATAAGCATGACAACATCAGCTTCACCAGCATGACATAATCTATTATTATTATTATTATTATTATTATTATTATTATTATTGCACGTGGTGGCTGAAATTTCCTCACTACTTTCTTACCTCGCCGTATAGGATGCCCTGTTCGTCCATTCCGAGGTACAATCCCGACTTCACACCTCGAAGCCGAACTTCATTGTTGAAGCCCACGGACGAAATTTCCAGCAGCCCTACAAAAGAATACAACATGATTATATGCATTATTATATATTTTAAAGACTATTTAAAGAATTCAAACAAATTTAAAAATTAGTAAATAACGTTTTCATACAAATGTGAAATCATCCAAGAAGAGATATTGTTAAGTTTACTTCACCACTCCTCTTAGTAACTGGTATTCTTTTCTAGGAAGCAAAATACCAGAAGGAATACCTTAAGAATAATCGAAAAAAAGAATGTTTCTATTATTTTTTTAAATTATCCAGAAATTGTAATTCTCTCATTCTTCTCAATCTTCTCATTCTCTCAAGAAGAAAAATGCATCTTTTTTACTTTCTTTTTTTTCTTTCTTACTATGTAATTACGTAGAAAAGATAAAGAATTGAAACGTTGTGGGAAACATTTCGACGCGATTTTTCGATTGAAATTTGTAAAAGTTCAATTTTTTTGCATCTTCCAACAACTACAATATTGACGATAGAAATTTTTTACCGTAATAACACTCAGTTTTTTTCGAAAAAAGACCCATAAACAACGTCATGGGCGTTTTAAATAGTTTTACAAGGTCTTGAATCAAGATTTATCTACTCTTTGGGTTCTGAATGTTTTTGTCGAAAATGTTCGGTTTCCTGCCACAGCATTATATAATTTTCTTATATATATATATATATATATATATATATATATATATGTGT